CACAACTCAGCCTTGAAAAGGCCTGCTGGACAAGGATGCCTGGGCCACCACGCACCCCTCCTGACACAGCCTGCACCTTTCATGCTGTCAGATTTTCTATCTTCATGGCCTAGTCACCCAGCATGTGCCCCTATGGCTGTCAGTACTAGGCTCTGCAGACAGGCACAAGTCCATCCACCTATCTGTGATGCTCTGGGTGGGGGTGGCAGAGGACACGGGGACATCCGTCCAGGAAGAGGAACCATACAGCCCACACAGTCACAGCCTCCAGGGAGAGAATGCTGACACCTCCAGGAAGAATGTCGGCCAGCAGGAGGGTGGGGCTTCCCTTGAAGTACTCAGACTTCTCCTGGGCTCTGTGGCCTCTCCAAGTCTGCAAGATTTGCCAGCGTTACTAGTGACCCCACTGTCCAGTCCTGTCCCCACAGAAAAATCACATGGGCCCCTGGCTGTGACTTTCCATCACCCAGGACCTACTTGTCCTGTGCAAATACTCACCAGTTCCAAAGGTTATACCACCCTCATACCCAGCAAAGCAGGCCTGTGCTCACACCACTGCATCTTACTCTGAAAGAGCCACTTATAACCTCACTCAACACAGGAGGAAACAGAGCCTTAGGCAAGCCAACCACCGTCTTTCAGATGGCAAAGTGGACTAGCTGTGCAGCACTACCAATCACACCTTCGGAGGCCTCTGCCTCTGGAGCAAACTATATCCCCTCCCCCAGCCTCTTTTGAAAGCTTCCTGGAAAGCCAAATGCTCCAGAAAGTATTTCCAGACGGATGCCACCCAAAGAGGGTGTCTCTGCCTCCCCCAGATGTATAGCCCAGGGATGCCTCCATCCTGCTGACTGATAACAGAAGTACCTGCAGTCTGCCTTCCCTGTCTAACTGAACTTGCTCACAATGGGGATGGTGGGCTACAACAAAGAATCCCAAGTTAACAATGCCATAGCTGTAAGATCAGTGAAAGCAACCCAGCCCCTCCTAGCTGTAGGGCACACCTTACCACATACTCCCTCGCTCCACTGTCAGCCACAGCGATGGGAGAGTGGTATTCCCAGGAGCCATGAGTGTTGGCTGGAAAACAAGATTCATTACACTACAGACCCACAGCAGGAATTAGGGACAGGTCTGCAGCCGTCTCCAAGTAACAGGCCTTTTCCTCCAGGGAGGAGAGTGAGCCTGGATCCAGCCATCACCAGCTCCCATGTCGCAGGAGTGTCTGCATGGTCTCATCTTAAGCAGGGGCCCCCCACTTACCCTCTTGGCCAGCTCTCCTGTGAGGCTCCCAGACACGGCTTGGAGGGTCCTACTAGAAGGACAGCAGAAAGCTCCAGGGGAGGGCTGACATCAGCCAGCTCTGGGATCAGAGTGTCTGGGTCCCAAGCCAGATCTGTTTCAACAAACATCAAGGATTTCGGGATTCTTTCTGGGCATGCAAATCTGGTTACAGCAAACACCGCAAAGGAAAGTAGGCCAACAGCTGGCGCCTGGACTGGCTTTTGTTACACAAAGACCCAAGCTGTAATTGTGTTTGCGATAACAGATTTGGCCTGCACACAAGAAAGAATACACCGTCCAGCTACCCCATGCCTCCACTGACTGGGCGTGGGACAGAGTTAGGGGTCACCCTCATTGCTACCCTGTCACAGAGGAGTGGTAGGTATCATGGGCATCACCTCGAAGGCCTTTGTCCTAGTGAAGGAAAGGGGGACATCAAAGAGAAGGAGGAAATCACTGCGAAGTAGAAAACTAAAAACCACATCAGCAAAACACAAAACATTTTCCTGTCCCCTACATGGTGACAGTGGGGGGAGTCTATGGAGAGGCCTTGAAGGACAGGCGAAGGCAGGATGCAGGAAGTTCATATTGGTGGTGGACAAGGTCACCCTCTCTGACACGCTGGGGGTGGGAGAACAGACTGATTCCCTGCACAGCCCCTTGGTGATGAAGGTGCCTCAGCTCTCTCAGTCCTCAAGGACGGCAGGAATGAGCAAGGCAACAGGGAAAGAAAGAGGACAGACAAGGAATTTAAAATTTAAAAAGATGAAAATAGCAGGTGCTACCCCAAGGGGAGACTGGCATGCCCAGGATGTAAGGTGTGGCATTAGTCGAATTTCTACACCCTCCAGACACACGGGTACAAGGCATATAGGCTTGTTGCCCCACCTGGGCCTACTGCTCTGGCCTGGGCACCCCCCCGACCCCGGCCTGCTCCAGGTAGCTTCCCTCTGCCCTGAAGGACGCATTACTCTGGCCGCTGGCTCCAAACCTCCCAGAAACACCTCAACAGGCCCCTCTGCTACCTCCCCCACTGCCAGCACCTGCTGGATTCCAAGCCAGGTTGTCTGCTTGGTTTGAAAATCACTGCCACAGATGCTATGCTCAGAGCTGGCCATGCTTTGCGGGTAGCCCCCGGAGCCTCCACTGTTCAGCAACATGCACTTCACAATGGCCCCACATCCTCCAGCCTCAGGAAGAGACTGAGAGCTGCTGTGGCAAAGCTGCCACTGTCCTCCCTCCCCTTTCGACCTACCTGGCAGAAACTGAAGCAGGTAGGCAGCCCGACTGGAGGCTTCTGGCCTGTCCCCTCGGAAGGAGGCCTGAACTCCTCCAGCGCCACTCTAGGCCACTCTGACTGCTTCCCCAGCACGGGCCACACTGATCTCAGGGCATGCTGGTCTTCCGTGGCCTGGCCCCTCTGATTGCTACAAGTTGGTCCCTCCTTATGCTCCAGGCCCCTATCAGGCCAGCTCCTTTCCACCTCCCCCGCTGCTGAGCTCTCCTCCTTCCTTGGGTGACCTTCCCCTGACTGATTCAGCCGCTGCCAGCTCTTTGCCCATGGCTGGGCTGGACTGCACACCTCCCCAAAAGCAATCCCTTCCCCATGCTGTCCCATCTGTCCAAGGTCATCTTCTCCCAGACAACTTCCACCCCAACTCCACCCTGAGTTCTAAGGCACAGGGAGGGCCACCTTTCTACTCCTCAGGGCAACGGCCTCATGCAAAGCACCCGTGCACACTACAGCACACTCACAAACACCCCAGGATGCGAGGGGCTCTCCAGTGCGTTCAACGCCCCAGTTCCACCCTTCAGTGCACACAGTGGGAAGATGATGCACACAGGGGACAGAAGACCCAAGGAATGCTTTGATCTCCAAGACTGAGGCATCTTCCCCCAGAGCCAAGGGGCTGCCAACCGCTGCACGAGGATGCTCGCAATAAGCACATCGTCTTAAGCTGAATTTGAGGACCAAGAAGATGGGGCACAATGGTGTGAGGTTGAAGTCACACAAGGGACCCCAAGACAGGGGCACCACCTGCCTCCACTGTTCAAACTGTGCCAGCTGGTAAAAAAAACACAACGTTGGCTCTTGTTGAGACCCCCGCATTCTTCTGCCGAAATCCCACCGAGTCAGGGAAGGAATGCCAAAACCTGAACTCCCTGCAGGCCCCGGGGGAGTGGAGGCCATGCGAGGATAGGACCTGAAGGGGGCAGTGTCTCCTTCCAGACTTGCAGGACCGGGATCTGATTGGCTGGCTCTTGCCAATGGGACAGTGGGGATTAAAGGGCTGGGGGAGCATGGTAGAGAGGTACAGTCTCAGCAAGGCAACATTCCTCCTGGGCCAGTAGATCAGGGGAGACCCCAGAGTGAGCACGCACCCCAAGAGTAGAGATTGTCAGGGACACAAGTCATCACAGCTCTTGGACCTAGAATTATACTTGCTCAGGTCAGAGCACGGAGTGAAGGTGCTAGAATCTGAAAACGTTCTCCCACTGACGCGACCAAGTGAATGAGACATTCCAGGCTTTGCACAGCCTGTGCCAGCAGCCGCTGGCTCAGTGGTCCCGTATGTTTGTACGGTCAAAGCCACGAATCTTACCCAAGGATGAAGCTTACCGCAGGCCTAGATGGGTAGCTGGGCTCAGGACACCCAGATTCCACCCCGGTCCTGTCTATGGGAGGCGGTGGACCTCAGGCCGGTCACCTCTGGGGTCGGCCTGGCGCCTGGCACCTGGCCTCCCGCAACTAACTCCTTCAAACTCAGCCTCTCCCCCTCGAGGCCCACCAGAGGGCTCAGCGCACTGCTGCCTGGAAGCCCCTCCGAGGGGCGGGGGCTCCGGCCGGCAGAGGCAGGCCCGCCCCTCCGGAACCCTGCCCCAAGCGGAGACCATTGTGTGAGCCTCCCTTCCCACCACCGTATTTACTCCCGAGGACGCAGGATGCAGGGCCACTGCACCGGCAGTCACGAGGCCCCGCGAAAGGCGCTTGAGCACACACAGGCCGGGGGCGGGGTTGCCAGACCCACCCTCGGAGGGAGAACCCCCAACCCCGAGCCTCTCCAAACTTTCTAACTCCGAAGGGGAGGAGAGAGCCAAAATGTTCTCCTTGCCCGCATGCAGGCTACCTCTACCCGCACAACCCGACTGTGGAGGCAGATGAGGATGTCCCCAGGTCTGGACTGGGGCCACTGGACGCCCCACGCCGGACCCCGTCCAGCCGCTCTTGCGCCTGGCAGGATTCCGCTCGACCCCGGCTGTGAAACTAGCTGGGGGAGGGGAAGGCTGTCCGCCGGGCAGGACGGGGGCGCCAACTCGGTCCTAGGAGGTGAACTAACGCTCTAACTAGCTGCCAGCCCTGAGGGGGCCCAGAGCTACGGACGAGCGCTAGAGGGAGGGGACTGGCCGATTTCCGAGAATGGAACTGCGCGCTCCCGGATAGTTCTGAGAAAGCTCTGAGAGCCCTTGAGGAGGTGGCTGTCGCTCCACAAACATTAACAACAATAAAAAGAAGGAAACCCCGGGCAGTTAAGGGGTCCTATGCGGGTGCGTGGTCCCTGTGGGTGCGCAGAACCGGGGGCTCCACGTAGGCTATGCGGGGCCGGGAACGCGTTCGGCGGGAGAGCGACCCGCCAGGGACCCGCCTCCCATCTACGCACTCCAGATCCCCCCCCCCCATGGTCCTGCCCCGCTTGTTAGGGCGGCCCGGAACCCACCTTCGAAGTCCGAAATGATCCCGTCCAGCTGAGCGTTGACCGCGGGGTCGGACATGGTGGCGTGTCGGCAGGGAGTCGCGCGGAGGGCGGCGGGGAGGAAGCGCCCCCGGCCGGGCCCTGGCCCTGCGCGCTGGC